AAATGGCCACTGAGGCTATCTGAATAACCTGAAGGGTTAATGTGTCCTTGTAGAAGGCTGAAGAATCTTCAGTAGTGTTGACGGGCTATTTGGAATACAATTTGTATTTTGTTATTGCAAAACAGTCCAGCAAGGGGTAAGGCAGGGGTTTCAGATCTCGCCAATTCCCTTAGTTTTTTGTTAGGGATATTCTGCCCAGAAGCTATTTATTGTTTCTTTACAAAGAAACCTTTTACACCCTGCTAAAATATTTAGAGGATACTTTATAGGAAAATAAAGGCATTTAGAGACAAGTATGTCGCAATATATCGACGAGGAGTTTGCTATTTGGTATTCCACTTGACAGTAAAAAAACCTTTCCACACAGATCCTTTATGTTTTTCCGTAACATTGCAGAAGCTTCTTCGAACAAGGGCAACATGACCCTGGAATTTATTACTCCTTACAGTTTTTTTTTCACAAAGTATTTTAAAGAAAGAAAAGGCTTTGTTCCCAGCTAACTCCCATTGAGAATTTGTTTAAGTAAAAAAAGCCTATAAAGGAAAAATGTACTTGAAGTATGTATAGGTATGAGTGTAGGTATGTGTGTGAGTTCATGTATAAGTGCTTGGTTTTTTAACTAGCCTTACATGAAAAAGGAAAAAAACACGAAACCTGTTGTGTTCTTTGTTAAATATCTTGATGAAAAAAATCCAAGCCCTTGGGTTAACATTTTTTCCTAGAGGATTATTTGTAAAAGTTATTTTTTTAAGCTGAGATTGTTTTTATGGTTTTGTTTACATGACGGCTTAACAAAGTGAATTCCCAGTTTAAGCATTTCAATTTTGTGCTCACTCGATAGCGTTTTTTTTTTCTTTTCAAAGGTATTTCAAAGTGGTCTTTGTGTCTTTGCTGCATAACAACAAACCCCAAATTCTTATCATTCCAAAGTGACTGTTTTAGTGGCCTGTTTGATTGTTTGCCTCGCCTCAAAGGGAATATTTTAAACATTTTCTTGTGTAAATTCTTTAAGAATTATGTTTGTCCTACGCCTACAACTACAACTATGAAGATGATTATGTCGATGCTGCTAGGTATGGCGTAACTCGTTGCCAAATAACCACTTGCTGCAATGGCTGGTGGCAATCCAAATACGAAGAAGAATATGAAGATAATGAAGAATAAGACAAAATTAAATTCCTAAACTTAAACAAAGTTTTTTTTCCGAGTTATTTGTTCCAATTATAACGATGGAAAGGGATATGATCTCTACACTTCGTTGTTTATCCAATAACATTCATTAAAGTTTACTTTATTGACTTGTAATCAAATAGAAGTTTTTCGGAACAATCTATGCGCCAGTTCTGTGAAGAGATTTCATAACTTATGACGACATTTAATTTCTTCAGAAAAATATTAATAGGGGGAAAATGAAAATTTAAAATGAGAAAGAGGGAAAGTAAACTAAAAATTTCATCAGAAATGTAACAATTCGATTTAAGTAGAAATGTTTTGTCGGGATACCTGTTTTGTTGTAGACAGAAAATAAACTTGGGAAACACTATAATATTTAACAAGAAATTGTAAATTAATTTATTGTTGATTTATTTCATATTTAATATTATTTGAATTTATAAAATTTGCTAAGAAAAGAAAACGATTTTAAAAAGATAGAGCTTTGAAAAATAGCCATTGCTCACATAAAAATGTATCGACATATTTTAGGTACGTTGAACCATTTCACCGCATTTTCAAATTTAAGTGAACTCCGGATTCTTGGGGGCTGCATAAATCTTTGGAAATAATTTTCCCATTCTAGCTTCATAATTTGATTCCGACCGATTTTCAATGTCCTTTATGGGAGCTGAAGTGATTTACCATACCATTGGGATGAAATTTGGCACAGCTCATTTGTATGACCCAAGGACGAACCCTATTGAAATTAGGAAAAATCGGTTCAGATTTAGATGTAGCTTCCATATATATTTTCGTCCGATTTAAGGTAAATGCTGCACCAATGACCCTATATATCTGTCGATTTACACGAAATTTGGTATAACGTATTGAATTGAGCCTAGAATGATGTCAGCCATGTTTTGTGAAAATCGGTCCAGATTTAGATATAGCTCCCATATATAGTTTTGTCCGATTTCATGTAAATGGTGCACCAATGTCCCTATACATCTTTTGATTTGCATTAAATTTGGCGTAACGTACTAAATTAAGCCTAGAGTGATGTCTGCCAAGTTTTGAGAAAATCGGTCCAGATTTAGATATAGCTCCCATATATAGTTTCGTCCGATTTGATGTAAATGGTGCCCCAAAGTCCCTATATATCCTTCAATTTGCACGAAATTTGGCGTAACGTACTAAATTAAGCCTAGAATAATGTCTGCCAATTTTAGAGAAAATTGGTCCAGATTGAGATATAGCTCCCATATATAGTTTTGTCCGATTTCATGTAAATGGTGCACCAATGTCCCTATATATCTTTCGATTTGCACTAAATTTGGCGTAACGTACTAAATTAAGCCTAGAGTGATGTCTGCCAAGTTTTGAGAAAATCGGTCCCGATTTAGATATAGCTCGCATATATAGCTTCTTCCGATTTCATGCAAATGGTATATTCTTCGATTTATTCTATATATTCTTCGATTTACACGAAATTTGGTATATCGTACTGAATTGAGCGTAGAGTGATGTCTGCCAAGTTGCGGGAAAATCGGTTCAGATTTAGATATAGCTCCCATATATATTTTCGTCCGATTTAATGTAAATGATGCACCAAAGTCCCTATATATATTTCGATTTGAACGAAATTTGGCATATGGTACTGAACTGAGCCTACAGTGATGTCTGCCAAGTTTCGTGAAAATCGGTTCAGATTTAGATATAGCTCCCATATATAGTTTCGTCCGATTTCATATAAATGGTGCACCAAAGTCCCTATATATATTTCGATTTGCACGAAATTTGGCATAACGTACTGAATTGAGCCTAGAGTGATGTCTTTCAAGGTTCGTGAAAATCGGTTGAAATTTAGATATAGTCCCCTTATATTACAGATTGATTTTAACTAATTGACGCACCAAGGAACCAATATATGGTTGATAGGAACAAAACGTACTGAAATTAGTATAAACTAAACTGTGGCTCAAGTTTCGTTGAAATGGGTTCATATTTGGATATAGCTTCCATATATATATATTTTCACCGGATTTTAAGTAAATTGGGCATCAAACTCCTCATGTTAGTCAGATTGACATCAAGTTTCCTATGAAAGACTCTTAGAGTCTCCTTTCATCTAGTCTATAGAGACTCCCTTCATCTGGTATATCAAAGTCTCCCTTCAGCTCATCAATAGAGATTCCATTCAGTTCGGCTATGGAGACTCGGTGTAGCTCGTCTATAGCGATTCCCTTCGCCTATGGAAACCCTCTGGCCCTTGAGTTCGTCTATGAAGTACTCCTTTCAGCTCGTTTATAGAGACTCGCTTCAGCTCGTCTATAAAAGACTCTTTGGCTCTTCAGCTCGTTGTGGAGACTCCCTGGCCCATCACCTCGGCTATAGCAACTCCCTGGCCATTCAGCTTGACTATACAAATTCCCTGGCCGATCAGAACGCCTATAAAAACACCCTGGCCCTTTAGCTCGACTATAGAGCCTCCCTTCAGCTCGACTATAGAGACTCCCTTCAGGTCGACTATACAGAATCCCTTCATCTCATCTATAGAGACTCCTTTCAGCTCGTCAATAAAGATTCCATTCAGTTCGTCTATGGAGACTCGGTGTAGCTCCTCTATAGCGATTTCCTTCGCCTATGGAAATCCTCTGGCCCTTCAGTTCGTCTATGAAGTACTCCCTTCAGCTCGACTATAGAGACTCGCTTCAGCTCGTCTATAAAAGACTCTTTGGCTCTTCAGCTCGCTTGTGGAGGCTCCCTGGCCCATCACCTCGTCTATAGCAACTCCCTGGCCATTCAGCTTTACTATACAAATTCCCTGGCCGATCAGAACGCCTATAAAAACACCCTGGCCCTTTAGCTCGACTATAGAGACTCCCTTCAGCTCGACTAAATAGACTCCACTCAGCACGACTATAGAGACTCCCTTCAGCTCGATTATAGAGACTCCCTTCAGCTCTTCCATAGAGACTCTTTCAGTTCTGTAAAAAATCCCACCAGCAATAGAGATTACATTCAATAGAGATTCCATTCAGTTCGCCTATGGAGACTCGGTGTAGATCGTCTATAGCGATTCCCTTCGCCTATGGAAACCCTCTGGCCCTTCAGCTTGTCTATGAAAGACTCCCTTCAGTTCGTCTATGAAAGACTCCCTTGAGTTCGTCTATGAAAGACTCCCTTCAGTTCGTCTATGAAACACTCCCTTCAGCTCGACTATAGAGAATCCCTTCAGCTCGACTATAGAGAATCTCTTCAGCTCGTCTATAGAGACCCCCTTAAGCTCGTCTTTAGACTCCCTTCAGCCCATCAATAGAAAATCCCTGGCTCTTTGGCTCGCCTATAGAGACTCCCTTCAACTCGCCTCTCTAGGAACACCTTTCAGGTCGTCTATATAGACTTCTTTCAACTCGTCTTTAGATACTTCTTTCACCTCCCCTATGGAGACACCCTTCAGTTCATCTATAGAGACACCCTTCAGTTCATCTATAAAGACTTCCTTCAGTTCGTCTATGGAAACTCCCTTCAGTTCGTATATGTAGACTTCTCTCATCTCGTCTATAGATATTTCTTTCACTTCCCCTAAAGAGACACCCTTTGGCTCGTCTATAGAGATACCCTTCAGCTCCTCTATAGAGACTCAGTGCATCTTGTCTATAGAGAATCCCTTCAGCACGTCTATGAAAGATTCACTGAAGATATACCATAAAGATTTCTTCATATTTTCTACATGAGTTTGTCAAAATATATAAAACATCGAATTTTGTTTTTGTTCCCACATGTTGGTGAACTAAAAAGATGAGCTAAAAATACTTCAAAATGTATGTATAATTTCCACTTACCTATCAAATGAACAGCAACTGCAGGTGGCATTACAAATATGCCCACTAGGAAATCGGCAACCGCCAGGCTCATAACAAAACAATTTGTCACGGTTTTAAGGCGTCTGGTGGTAATAACGGCCATTATAACCAAGGTATTACCAATAATGGTGATCACAATTAAGACACAAAAGACGGCAATCAGGCAGACACCTTGCCAGGATAAAATGAGATCATTAAAGTGGGACCAATCATCATCGGAATTGGCAGCAGAGGTGACATTCACGCCCTCCGCATTTAGGGTGGACAATGCAGGTGCAATGGAAGTGGCTAAAGAGGAGGAGGATGACGATGACGATGACGACGATGATGATAGGTATGGTGATGATGCATTCAGCCATGAGTCATTTAATAGCATATAGGAGGTGGCTGCCGATATGCTTGACAGGGATGTACCATAAATTAGGGTATTATTAATGATGTTCTCATCCGATGCCATTGGTGCTGAATTTTCATAAACGAATTTGAGTCTTTCCTCTGCAAAGGAAGTTGGTGAGGACATATTTTCTGCTGTGGTTGGTGAGGTGGCAGCTGCCGTGACAAGTGATGCTGCCGCTGCTGCTGTTGTAGTTATGGCACGTAATAAATGGGATGACATTGCGGTGGCTGAATGAATGCTTCTGTTGAAATTATGGCAATTATTATTGCTTGACTTGCTATTCGGAATATCATCATCACTTCGTCTTCGTTTACATTTGACTTGGCCATCATCTTCAGCTTCATCATCACCATCAGCGCTGTTAACACATTTGGCCATTCGAGTATAAAGTGGGGAATTTACATTTTCTTGGCCAATGTGATTAACATAATTATCATTAACGTCATAATTCCTATTATTCGTATCTTCTTCATCGTTATTACTCTCAGTATCCATAATGTGATGGATTGCACTTTGGAATATTACATTTTGCATTGCCTTATTTTTTGTGTGCTTTCTACCCTTCTTCTTCGTTTTTTGGGGCTTCTTCCCTGGTTTGCAATTTGTTTTTGCACCTGCTGTTTATTGAGTCGACAAAAGGTTGCTTTGAGTATCCTTGTATCTGTGCCTGTATGGGCGTGCGTTCGTGTGTGCTACTTTAATAACGTTTTATGAATACCCGCTTCTCCTACGATACTTGTATGTGTAAGTTCGACTATCGCTTACTTTCATTGGCCTCGTTTAATTCTCTTATGTTGTTGAACGGTTTATTACTTGAATGCGTTTTTCTTCCTCTTTTCCTTCTTTATTCTTTGGTGTTGACTTCACGTCTTTCTCACTTTGTCTTGTTTGCAGCAATTGTTCGTCTGGAAGAAAAACAGCGAAAAAAAAACACCAGAAAATATGTTAATGGCATTAAGAAAATGGAAGAAAAGAAAATTTATTGTAACAACTTCTTGTAAGTGTATTATAAAATATATGAAGCGGGTCCATTATTACACAATTGAATGACGGTGAATGGAGTCACGTCGAAGTTAAATACTGGTATTACATAAGCCATAAATGTCTAAGGATATATATGAGATGTACGAAAAGGAGCTGGAGACAAGAAGGAGGGATTTGTAATAGATACACTGGAGGTTTTCGTTGTAAATGGACAATGAAGACAATGAAGGGTCTTTATAGACGAACTGGAGGTAGAATCGAGCTGAAGGGAGTCTCTTTAGATGAGCTAAAGGGCGGCTCTATCGACAAGCTGAAGAGAGTTTTTTATAGACGAGCTGAAGGGAGTCCTTAACAGGCTGCTAAAGACGAGCTGAAGGAAGTCCCTAACAGCCTGCTCTAAAGACGAGCTGAAGGGAATTGGTTATATACGAGCCGAAGGGAGTCTATGTAGAACAACTAAAGGCAGTGTCTATGGATGGGCTAGATGGAGTCTTAATAAGCAACCTGAAGATAGTTTTTATAAAATAACCAGACTCCTTTTTTCTGCATCAAAAAAGGAGTCCTATGGGCCTCTGGGTTTTTTTCTATAGAAAACAAAAAAGTCTTGTGGGCCTCTCAATTTTTTCTATAGAAAAAAGGAGTAATGAGGGCCTCTGAACCCCATTGGGGTTCTGAATTGCTTTCAATAAAAAATGAGTCCTGTGTACCTCTTAAACTTTTTTGTAAGAAAACCAGAAGGGAAAGTAGTAAAGTCGGACTGGGCCGACTATATGATACCCTTCACCACTTTGGGTATATTCTACACATGCATGCGTACAATTGCATGTCAATGTTCCCTTGATGAATTTCAATAAAATGCAATAACATCATTGAAGTCTCAATTTGATACGTTGTGCAAAATTTTGTGTTAATCGGATAAACATTAGGAGTTTGGTGCACCACTTATGTAAAATCGGACGAATATATATGTATATGTGTGAGCTACATCGAAATCTGAACAGATTTTCACGAAATTTAAAACACATCATTCTAAACTCAATTCAGTATGATGTGCCAAATTTCGTGCAAATCGAAGGATATATGGGACTTTGGTACACTATTTACCTAAAATCGGACGAAAATATATATGGAAGCTATATCTAAATCTGAACCGATTTTCAGGAAATTTAACGCACATCGTTTTAGACTTAACTCAGTACGCTATGCCAAATTTCGTGCCAATCGAACGATATATAGAGGCTTTGGTGCACCATGTACATAAAATCGGACGAAAATATATATGGGAGCTATATCTAAATCTGAACCGATTTTCAGGAAATTTGACACACATCATCCTAGACCTAATTAATTACACTATGCCAAATTTCGTGCAAATCGAAAGATATATATGGACGTTGGTACACCATATACATTAAATCGGACGAAAATATATATGTGGGAGCTATATGTAAATCTGGACGGATTTTCAGTAAACTTAACACACATCATTCTTGACATAATTCAGTACGCTGTGTCAAATTTCGTTCAAATTGAAAGATATATAGGGACTTTGGTACAGCATTTACATTAAATCGGAGCTATATCTAAATTTGAACCGATTTTTCCCAATTTCAATAGGGTTCGTCCTTGGGCCAAGTAAGTGACCTATGCCAAATTTCATCCATTTCGGATAATAAATGCGACCTGTACTTTGTTTACAATATTACATGGACAGACAGACGGGCGGACATGCATAAATCGACTCTATGCATATTCTCAAAAGGAACCATGTGTCTATCTCGTTTCCTTTTGCCTGCTACAAACATATGCACAAAGACATAATACCCTGTACCAGAGTGTGGTGAAGGGTATAATGAGTCCTGTGGACATCTTAAATTGTTTTTATAAGAAAAAAAGTCTGGTGGGCCTCTGGATTTGTTTCTATGGAAAAAAAGTCTAGTGGGGCTCTAATTTTATTTTTATAAAAAAAGGAGTCCTTTGGCCCTATAATTATTTTCCTATAGAAGTCCTGTGGGCCTCTAAAAATTTTTCTATAGAAAAAGGAGTCCTGTGGGCCTATGATTTTTTAGGGCTTTTGAATTTTTTATATAAAAATAGGTCCTGTGTTAATCCGAGTTTCTTTCTATAGAAAAGTTGTTTTCTATAGAAAGTCGTTTGCCTCTCGATATTTGCTATAAAAATAAAAGAAGTCATGTGGGCCTCTCAATTTTTTCTATAGAAAAAGAGTCATGTGGGCTTTTGAATATTTTTATTTGGATAAAGGAGTTATGTGGATCTCTGAATTGTTTTCCAATAGAAGAAAGGAGTCCTGTGGGCCTCTTAAATTTTTTCTATAGGAAAAAGGAGTCCTGTGGGCCTCTTAATTTTGTATAGAAAAAAGGAGTCATGTGGGCTTTTGATTTGTTTCTATAGAAATAAAGTAGTTCTATGGGCCTCTCTATTTTTGCTGTAGTTATGTGGACCTCTGAATTGTTTTCCAAATCAAAAAAGGAGTCCTGTGGGCCTCTTAATTTTTTTTGTATAGAAAAAAGAAATAAAGCAGTTCTGTCCTCAATTTTTTCTATAGAAAAAAGAGTCCTGTGGGCTCTGATTTTTTTCTATAGCAAAAAAGGGCAATGCTGGCCTCTGAATTGCTTTTCAATACAAAAAAAGGAATCCTGTGTGGCTCTGATATTTTTGTATGAAAAAAATTGTCCTGTGAGCCTCTGAATGCTCTTCTATAAAAAAAGGAATCCAGTGGGCCCCTGTTTTGTACTCTCCAATAAGAGCATTAAATGTTTGTGATAACTCAAATCTTTCCTACCACATGCATTAGCCATTTGTCATTAGCCACAATGTTTGTTTGTCAACTTCTCGAACATCATAAAAATATTTTTTCTAACTTTTCAATTTTCTTAAAATATTTTGTAATGCAATTTTTATCTTTTCATTCAAACAGAACATTATGCATGTGGTTGCTGGCATTCGAATCCACAAAAACCACCCGCAGCACTCCTATAAAAACAAAAAAAAAAAAAAAAACCAAAAGACATGAAAAATGTGATAAATTTCCAAAGTAGCTTATATTTTCCAAACCGCACACATAAATCATTGAGAAAGTTTTAATATTTTTCTCTATGACTTTTTTTGTTTTTTTTTTCCTCAGTTACTCTGATGACTTTAGATATCAGATGTTGTGAACTGGTTCTTGTTTTATTTGAAAGGAACATCTACCGCCCTCTTTTATCCGATATGATAGAAACTTTAGAAATTGCATTGAACTTTTGTACTGTAGATAAAACACACACATACACACGTTTTAAAAACTTGCTACTTTTATTGCAGTACAGAGCAGGGTATTTAATGGCATATAGAATAGAGCAGGATAATGTCAAAGTCAAAGCTATCAAAGCAGGAAAATTGTGGAAGTGGTTAAGCGCAATGATGTTTGGGGCAAATAAACTTT